TTCGTATCTAAAATGCAAGGATTACATACACCTCGAGTACAAGAACTGTTACAAATTCTATGCTGTTTAAATAAGCACTGCTTTATACATATAAATTAACATTCCAAAAATCAAAGTATTTCCAGTAAAGTAGTCTTGTAGTATTTAGTGCATGAAACAAAACACTAGACTTACCTATGCATGCCGTAACACTATTGATTGTAGTTACCCAAGTAGTAATTGAACTCGTAACCTTTCAGTCGCCAGTCCATTCCCTCACCTTTAGCCATAATGTGATAAACAAGAGCACATTATAGTAGCCAAAGGCTTTGTAGATTTTGTTTTTATCTAATATATTATTATAAGTGCCTACATTAATGACTGCCTCATTGGCCGAGTGGTCGCAAGTGCGACTGCCGGGCAAGGGGTCTTGGGTGCAACTTCAGGGTCAGGCAAAGTATTACTTGTTTTTTTTTAAATTCTCAGTAGTAGCACAGAGTCCGGAATTAAATAATAAATAAATAGTGAAAAGTGGGTGTTACATTGTTGCCTTGCCTTGCCATGCCTTCTAGGATAAAAGGCGTAATGCTATGTTATGTTATTAATGTAAACAATTTCACATTGTTTGACATGGTGATTTGAGTTTCGTATTAGCGTTTATTAAAGTAGTGTTAGATCTAAACAGAGTAATTTAGTGCAAATAATTATATTTCAGTAGTCTAGCTGTAGACTTGTAAAAACCATTGTCCATATCTTCTGACTAACTAGTTGGACCACGGGTCTTTACAAGGGGTAGTTGTCCAACATTAATAATAGTTAGACCATAGCACCACAATAAACCTATTAACATTTTACTAATATAGATATATTTACGAGATTTTCCAAATGTTTTCCTATAAGCCACTTCAAGAAACGTAATTCATTAAAACAGTTCCATTGTTAGTATTTATGTCGCTTAAAAAGTAACCATAAACTACTGAAATGAGTCGCGGAGAACCTAATGAGTTACCGGGGCTCCGGCTCGAAGCGCAGGAGTAGGAACGGGGTGGTTTTTTGTTAGTAAGAGTATGACACTCCCTCCCGCCTCACCCAGGCGGGAGCAGTCATTCGATGATTTTCCACTCTTACAAAAAAAACACTACTGAAACGAAAAAAATATCTTCAAGAGTTCATAAAACTTGATTATAGACTACATAATTGAAATTAATTAATGAACAACATAATTATACGTTGCTCACTTCAATGGGAGTGGTTAAATATAATTATTCTAATTAATAACTTTTAGATAAAAATCGCAATGTTTTAATTATTATTGTTATCTTCTTGATACAATTTTTTGTAAACACCACAAAATAGTTTTATTACTTAAATTAAAATCAAATCACTTACTGGCTATTGCCCGCGAATCGGCCGCGTAGAATATAATTCCTGTTTTATTCCATGGGAGAATTTAATCGGGATAAAAATCCTATCACCTAAGTCATCTCATACCCGGCCTGTATACCAAAATTCATCAGAATCCGTTCAGTAGTTTCTACCTGATTGACGAACAAACATCTAAACAAAGAAATTTTCACATTATTATAATATCATAGCGTGACTTATGCTTGTATTTCCCAAAAATAAGAAGTAAGACAATCAAATATGACTAGTATAAATGTAAGCAATGATTTGTTAACTCTTTTAGTGTTATGGTTGTCCATAGGTAGCTTGGATCTGTTACCGTCAGATGATATATATCTATTTGATTACTTCCCGATCTAGTAAAATACGATTAGAACTGTTTTATGCTTTTAAAATGGTCTTAGAGCCTATTTAAAGGCAAAGGAATAACGTTGAATATTTGACAATATTTCCACATTAAAAAATGTCAAATGACAACTTCATTTCACAGTTATCTGTTAACATTAACATTATCTGTTGATTAAATGGAAATCGGAACTTAATCACTTTATTTTGTAAACGATATTATTTAACTCTGAAATAAATATATGCTGTTTTATGTATCACATATATAATGAGAGGAGTTCTCACCAAAACTACAATATCATTGTATTAGATGTAATATATTACCACATGATCCATTGTTTCAAATAAAAATATTTCATATAATAATAATTATATTACCATTTTATAGCGGTAATTTAAAATAATAATATTTTACGAGTACTTGCGTTTCACGGTCAATTGTACAATTGTTTTTGTATGACATATAATAAACATTTGAGGGACGTTTGTCAAATAGTAATTCGTACACAGAAAAATATCAAATTTATTTTTTGTTTTGTAAAGTGAATAATTTTTCATTTGTTAATTTCGTTTTAGTATGTACCTAATGTATGTACTTAAATGTTTTAATTACACAATATTTACAAAAACTCTGTTTACCCTTCCAGAAGCAAAATGCCTGATACTAAATTATATTTGTCCTCAAAATTGAGAACACTCAAATTAGTTATTAAAAATGCATCCAAATATGTAAATGGTCGACGGTTAAAAATGTTAATTAAGCTTACTAAATCAATTCGCGCTAGATATTAACTAGCGCATGTTTCGGTAAAACATCACGCGTTATTTTATCTGCAAAGGATCAAAGAAACTTGCAGAAAGCCATAACCTAAGTTTCAAATACGACACTGCACTCTTTCGAGTCTTTTTAATCATTTTTATTTTCACCCTAAAAATGTTCAGTTTTACTTTGAAACACGACAACCGTGAATTTCCTATTCTTAGTCTGGACACTTAGATATTGGATTTTTGGGATAAAGTATTCCAAGTAGCAGGCTACACTTGGAAATAGTGCCAAAAGTTTTATTCCTTTGGTCACCTCTTACGTGTATAAAATGTGGACAACCATTGGATATTTGGCGAAAAGTATAAAAAGTTAGTATAAAATGTATATTCCCTATTTCTTTTTGGCTGTATACTGCGTGATTTTTCCGTAGATAAAGCATAAATTAAAAAATAAATCAATTTATATTCCATAACGTAAAAAAATTGAGGTATGTATCTATTATTTTATTTATTAATAAAGGTACATGATATGCATTACAATCTAACGCCATGCCCAACAAAACTATAGGTATATAAATAGTTTGACTGTTGGATCTTCCATATTTGTTTTAAATTACAATTTATTATGATAATGGTTAAAATTTATTTTAAATATAGGCAACGTCAATGAATCCAGGTACAAAAACTTATCATTAAACAGATTTCCAACTTTGTCCTTATAATAATAGATTCGAAAATCTAATAAAACCCCAACGCAAACAGGACATCATTAGATTTACTCAACCAGCTAATTATCGTACGACAATCGCTGAACAATTGTACTCAGGTTATGTCCCAACACAGGCAACTGATTGCCGTAACTAAGGACTTCCTTTAAGGCAAAGAAGTAAAGATACATTCAATATATCGTAAGTAGCAACGTATTCTAACGTCATTTGGAAATGAGGGAGAACAAAGCAAAAATATTATTCTTAGCTACCAATTAGACATAGGTAAATTAATTAAAAATCGCGGGTTACTCACGTGAATAGACGAGTAGGCTGCGTAGACCAGTAGTAGACCGCGCACGCTGCTCATGAGGAAGAACCCCTCTGTGGTTCGAAACTAGTAGAGCTTTTCTCAGTATATTCCCGTGAGTAACCCGCGATTTTTAGTTAATTTTGTATGTCTCACGATAGTTATTATAATATGTATGTTGATCCACCCTAAAATTGATCAAAATGCATAATTCCCTCTCAACTAAGTACTTTTTTATACCTTCCAAGAATAGCGTCCACTTCATTGATAAGCTATTCCATTTTTCTATTACGTAGTTATATATTTGACCTAGACAAAATCCGTATCTTACTAATATTATGAATGTGAATTTGTGTGTTTGTTCTCAATCACGTTAAAATGGCTGAAGCGATCAAATTGAAATTTGGAACAAAGGGTAGATTTTGGTCTGTAATAACACATAGGCTCTTTTTGTCCTACGGACATGCGGGCGAAGTGGCTGATAGAATTGTAGATGCGCGCAACAAAATAATGAAAGAAAATTATCAGTCATTTGTCACTCTTTAACGTTCATCTATACTAATAGGTATTATAAAGCTGAAGAGTTTGTTTTTTTGTGTGTTTGTTTGAACGCGCTAATCTCCGAAACTACTCATTCGAATTGAATAATTCTTTTTGTGTTAGATAGTCCATTTATTAAGGAAGGCTACAAAACATCTGGCTACGATCAATAACAGCGAGTGAAACCGCGCGCAAGTAGCTAGTATATATAAGTGAAGTCATAATGTTCATTAGTGATAAGACTGGCGATATATCCCTACACATATCACCCCAATATTCTAAAAGGAAGTAATACAAAAATAATGTGAGGGAACATAAAGGGTACAATTTCAAAACAACACCAAATACTTTTAAATAAATTCGAGTGCTTACTTTGATGATCATTGCCAAGGGTTTGGTGCGTGCCTAAATGTCTGTAAAGACCCCATTTACTATTTTACACGTGGAGCCCATTTTAATTTTGATCCTTAGTCAAAATCCCCTTTAATAGACCTCATAGACTTGTAGTTGATTAATATTGGCTTGACTATTTTATGACCTTTTCGTTTTGATGGAAAATCAGCGAAAGAATGAAAAACAAGAACCTTATCATGTTATAACGTTTGCTTAGTAACTTAAGCCTTAATGGAAAAGAGTTAGGAAAATGAATGCCAACTGAGAATCGAATTGTTGATATCCACTTCACTTAATAATTATTTTATACCCCCTCTTCTTCTGAAGTCGGTTAATTAATATACCAAAACTTTTTCCAAAGTTTAACAAACACTTTTCTGAAAACCGCATCTAAATCGGTTCAGCCATTTGCGAGATAATCACGCACAAACATACAGGTCAAACAGAGATCCTCCTTTTATTTGAAGTCGGTAAAAATAGAGGTAAACTTTGGTTTGTAAGGTGTTTAATATTAATCTCTTACTTCTTTCCATTCGCAGATTGTCCTCGCCGTAGCCATGGTGGCGGTCTCCGCTGAGGAAGCCGCGAAGAAGACCGAGAAGCGAGGTCTCTCCGGCCTCGGATACGGTGGCCTGGGATACGGTGGCCTCGGATACGACGGCGGTCTCGGATACGGCGGAAGTCTCGGATATGGCGGACTCGGATACGGCGGATACGGTAAGCAAATCGATTAAAGTCAGGCTCAATCATCATTATTGTCAGGTAGCAGTCTAGCCAAATCAATGCATGACTAGTTCTTCAGATTTAACGGTCAATGCACTGGGTTTTCCCAACACACAATAAATAAAACTCAACAATACTATTGTCCGAGTTCATGGTCTAGGTGATTCGGATGTACTCCCAAAGCAATTATAGTTTGTATCAAAATCCTTGGCCACATAACAAGAAGTTTCCTGAACTCCGGTAGACTCACGTCCAACGAGCCTTGAAATACCTAATACTAAGGATTTAGTGAAAATTTCAAACAATCGACCGCAGCCAAGTTGTCTGACCAAGTTTAAATTGGCCAAGAGCATTACATCTGGGAGACGTGACAGGGAAACCAAGTACTAGCTGGTACCGCCACGTTCGGTCTAGAACATTTAGTACCTAATAGTGTTTATTGGTAGTATTCTGGAGACACTGTCTTATAAACCAGTTATCATAGGACTCATAGACCAAAATACATACCTAATTTACTAAAAATATTCTATTGGGATAAGTAAACAATGATGATTACACAGATAAGAGGATCTTTTCAATAGTGCCCACATCTGCAAAGCACTTTAAACATCATTACCAACCCAATAAAGTCTATTACAGCACAATCAAATAAAAAACAATGAATCGTTAAGTTCCTCATTTGAACAACCGGTACATTTTAAAGCGTTAAGCGCTGAGCAAATTGTGCATTCAATTATCCGACCTTAGACTATCTAAAAAAAGCAGCGCTGCAGCGCTTACGGTCTAAGAAATGAAGACTGGGAATAAAAACTTTTTTTTAAACTCGTAGATGTAGCCCAAATGAAATTCAATCTTAATCGGATAGACGTAGAGTTGCTTTTAGCCTAAACAATATTTTAAGTTATTAAAGTAAATTGTTTCATCCATGACTAATTCAATCCTATTTTAAAGTAATTGCTCTATACCTCTACTTATTTAGGAAATTGGCTTATAAGTACATGTTTTAAGGTTAAGGACAAATGCCAAGCCTTAGGTTTCAAATTGCCCGTCTGACATTAGGCCCTATTTCAATTCATTTACTGGAATATATTGGACGGCCATTACGCACTTGGTAGGCCTATAATTTTCTATAATCAAACCATTGATTGTGTGATTAGTATAATTAAAGGTATCTAGAATTCTGTGACTAACTAATAATTGAGGATCTTACGCGTATAATTCTGTCGTCAAGAGATAATTTGTTTCTTAGGGGATAACTAATTGAACCTATATAATTACCTAGTATCAGTAACTTATTAATCCACTCTATTTATCTACTGGAAGTCTTTAGGTATTACAATTTTTAGTGTAGGTTGACAAAGAATATTAAATTTAAAAAAAGTCCTACAATATGTGATTGAATATACGGTTTTTTTATTGAATATGTCGGAAAATGAGCAAACAGATCACCTGATGGTAAGCAATCGTTACCGCCCATGGATACCCAAAACACCGGAGGTGTTACAAGTGCATTACCGGCCTTTTAGGGATTAGGAATTAAAAGATTGTTGAAATTGGAAAGGTGGTTAATTGGGCCTCCAGTAACCTCACTCATACGACGAGACATAACGCAAGTGTTGTTTCACGTCGATTTTCTGTGAGGCCGTGGTATCACTTCGGTCGAGCCGGCCCATCACTGTCGAAGCATGGTCGAAAATTAATTACCTAAATAAAAATCAATCTCCAAACATCCGCCCAACTTTATTAATGACTTTTGTAAATTTTTTCGTTTTATAAATGTTTCATTTTCATTCGTTCCAATGCTAAGGTCAGACAAATTGTCAATTATGTAAAAAACTTCATCGTAAGTTGTTTCTTTTTTAATATTGTTCTACGCATGACTAGCCACTGTGATTGTCATGAATCAACCTTTTTATGATGGACATTGAATTGAATATTTAGTAGAAAAAGTTAATTTACATGTAAAAACATGCGAACAGGTTCTATATAATATTTCCTTGACAATAATAGTTATTCATTTGACACAGTTTTCATCACTACATAGTAAACAAAGTCGCTATCCGCCGTCTGTCCGTCCCTATGTATGCTTAGATCTTCAAAACTACACAACTGATTTTGATGCGGTTTTTTAGTGATTTTTAAGGTTTATATGTATAATACATGCATATTGTACCCGTGCGAAGCCGGGGCGGGTCGCTAGTTAATTACATTTTGATATGCAAGGTACAACAACATATTTACTGAAAGGGTAAAACCAGCAAGCTTGTTCATTCAAGTTTGTTACTTTTTCCAATTTTATTCCACCCCTGTAATAATAACGCTTGCAACAACACCCCTTTGGCTTTGACTGCCAATAGAAAACTGGTGAAGGCAAATCCTCTGCTAACGTCAGTCACCGATGACTCCCATGGCGTTTAATGTGTTAAAAAACGACAATTATTTTCTTGCTTGACTGCCTCGTTGGCCAAATGGTCGCAATTACGACTGCCGGGTAAGGGGTCTCGGGTTCAATTCCCGGGTCGGGCAAAGTATTACTGGGTTTTTAAAAAATTCTCACTAGCAGCACGGAGTCTGGAACTGTGCCCGGTATATGGCAATAGGCTCACTCCCTATTACATGGGACTCATAGCGTAAATAGTGAAAAGTGGGTGTTACATTGTACAGTGGTATAATGTGCACCTCTGCCTACGCCTTCGAGGATAAAAGGCGTGATGTTATGATGCATTATTTTCTTTTAACCTTTCGAAAATCATCCTCTAAATTTGTTCATACAAAAGTAGTCTCTAAACATTAGAAATAAGGTCTATAATGTAGTTAGTGGAGAGCGGTCACCGGTGGCCGCTTGGGGATATAAGGGATTTCAAATAACTTGCATTGCTTTAACGTCGCATTCAAAGATATGTCACCCAAAACGTTCCACTAATTACACGAGGCACGCCTACAGTACGGTTTGTCACGTAACAACGTAGTATTACTGCACACAGTGGGCCAAGGACCATAGGTTCCCACCATACTTGTGACATTGATGACCAAACACTGTATCACAATGGGCGACATTTACTTTGTTTTAAGTCAGACCTATTGAAGTGGGATTGATAGTTTATAAAAAGATACACTGATTGTCTTGACTATATTAAATTTCTTCTAAACTGCCAGATCTGTTTGTTTGCTGGACTGCCTCGTTGGCCTAGTGGTCGCAAGTGGGACTGGCGGCAAAGGGTCTCAGGTTCGATTCTCGGATCGCACAAAGGATTACTAGATTTTCTGAAAAAAAATCTCAGTAGTAGCACGACGTCTGAAATTGTGCCCAGTATATAGCAATAGGCTCACCCCTTATTACATGGGACTCATAATTTTAATAGTGAAAATGAGTGTTACATTGTACAGTGGTATAATGTGCACCTCTGCCGAGAATAAAAGGCGTGATGTTATGATGTTATTATTTTCTTTTAACCTGTTGAAAAAAAAAGTGCCATAATGTTCATCTCTGCCTACCTCTTCGGGGATAAAATTTGTGATTTTATGTTATTTGCTCTTTCCATCTACAGCTGCACCAGTAGCAGTCAGCAAGGTTGCATACACCACCGCGCACGGTGCTGGCTACGGAGGCTATGGCGGATATGGCGGATACGGCGGATACAGCGGCCTCGGCGGATACAGCGGTCTCGGTGGATACGGGGGACTTGGTACGTTTGTGATGAGATTCATGTTAATTATTTACCGCTGTTCGTTATATATACCTAGTTGACCAATATCTGTTTATAGAGCATTTAATAATAGTATAAAATGTTACCTTCACTATACACTAAGCGCAATACTAGTCTTTCACAAGTCGAATGACCTATTACTAAATAGCATAACTTGAGGATTAGGCTATTTTACCAGATCAGCAAACATAAAAATACAAATCCAAGTTTATAATCAGTTAATAGATTTCTTTCCTAAATATTATGGAAGTCATTTAATTATCATAATTTATATAACTACATAAATATTTACAACTTAAAATTAACTACAACTAAACTATTAAAAAAAAGAAAGTAAAAAAAAAGAAAACAACAAAAATTATACCCTTAATTTAGGCGTTAAAATATTCGTCCGCATCACTATTACACTATCCTTAAATTAAAAATACACTTTAGTTTTTCTCTTCTATAATACACATTGGCATATTAATTCAGATACAGGTCTGAGTAGAGGTAAACAAGGACGGCAAACTCTAGTGCAAACTTGGGAACACATTAATAAGACAACAAGCTAATTAACAATACACTACTTCCTTACACCTGCAGAGTAATTACATATTCGCTGACGAAACTTACTCTTATGAACAAATTATATAACATCCCGTGCTTTTTTTACCAGGGATTTTTTCCCCAGTTTTGATTGTAGCCTTTACTTTGACTTATATCTTACTAGCTTTTACTCGCGGCTTCGCTCGCGTCACAAAAGAATAAAAAGTAGCCTATGTGACACATATCAATACACACAGCGCCATCTATACCAATAATTTCGTTTTCCCTCGAGAATATAAAATTTTTCCGGGTTAAAAAGTACCCTATTATTTAATCCAGACTTCTAAATTTACGTCTGCAAAAATTCAAAGCAATCGGTTTAGTAGTTACGGCGTGAAAGTGGAACAAACAAACAAACAAACTCACTTTCCGATTTATAATATAAGTAAGGATGTTCCCAAGTTGGGGCAGAGAACATTCATAGAAATCCTTGATCGCGATCTGTCTTGCGCGTTCCACATTACCTTGTTCCATGTCATTCCGACGTCATATTTCAAGCATAATTTACTGCTAAACTCATTCAAAAAATCGTTTAGCCCTTTAATAGTTGACCTAACCCGGGATTAGAATGCTAAGGCTTATAGCTCGGCAGTAAGACTTGAAATCAAATGACTGGTAAGCCAGTTAAAATCTCACGAGTAAATATGCTGCCTAAAAACTTGAAATAGATACCTCTCGATAATATTGTTGTTTAAGAACAATACTTGCATTGTTAAAGATAATAATCTCCATTATTTAAATACAATTTTACACTTGATTCGAAGTTCCCATGGGGTTTTTGTATTGTTAGATAATACAAGCTAGTTTTGTATATATTGTCCTCTATTTGTTAGGTTGCGTGATGCGTTTTAGCATGTTCCGATAATTATCATTATTAGTGACACAATCGCTTACATTATTGATGTAACATTGTGCTAGATACGTTATAAGCTTCATGGAGGATATTTAGGCAATGGACCTCATCGTTCGCTTGATAAAATTGACGTGTAAAAGTGCTGCCTTGTAGCCTATTTGCAGATATAAAGTCACCTTGTTGTTTCTCATGGATTAAGGAAGAGTAGACACCTAAGTTGCCATATCTATTACACTAACCCTTAAATCCTTAATCCCCAAACTGTCTGCTAAGTGTAAGGCTTATTATGGCATTTATAGTTCTTTGTTTTTTTTAATATGGAGTACTATTTTTTTTTCTCCAGGTTACGGTCATGGTGGATACTACAGTGCCCCAGCTGTCAGCTACGCTAACCAGGTTGCGTACGGCGGATATGGCGGATATGGCCACGGTCTCGGATACGGCGGTCACGGTCTCGGCGGATACGGCGGTCTCGGTTACTACGGACATCACTAAACTGACTTCGACTACTTCAAAATTTTTCAATTTATTTTTTTTCTCCAACATTTATTTAAATACTCGTAGCATTGTACATATGTATGTACTTTGCTTTTCCGATTTTTGTATTTAATCTTTTTAATCTGTGATCGATATTTTTGTGATATCAACTTAATTTTTTGTTTGTTTTGGGAACCGATCCCACTATCTGTTTGACAGTGAGCTGATGTTTACTGTGATTTTTGAACAACGAAACTGCCTGAGAGTCTTTGTAAATATCTTAATAAAATAATATATTAAAAATCAAACCTGACGTCATTTAATTTATTCTACACTACCTTAAACTAAGCATGTTCCTACCTAGACATATTCTAATATTGGAATATGAGTCTCCTCTACATCTACATAAGCGGCGCGTAGCAAACGTGTTAGAGATAAATATTATCGTCATCATCAGTCAGTACAATCATCTTCATAGTGCAAGTGATAATTTTCACGGTTAGGAGATGGTTTTGGGACACCATTACCGGTCACCACCTAAAATCTAGAGGTAGAGAACACTGTTATCTGTCTTTCGGTAGCTAGACGCAGTGTAGCATACCTATGTTCATTTTCATATCATTTATCAAAAACATCAACTTTAACGAGACATATTTAAATAACACTAAACATAACATAACACCACGCCTTTTATCCCCGAAAGGGTAGGCAGAGGTGCACATTATGCCACTGTACAATGTAACACCCACTTTTCACTATTTATGTTATGAGTCCCATGTAATAGGGAGTGAGCCTATTGCCATATACCGGGCACAATTTCAGACTCCGTGCTACTACTGAGATTTTTTTTAAAAACCCTACTAATACTTTGCCCGACCCGGGAATCGAACCCGAGACCCCTTGCCCGGCAGTCGTGCTTGCAACCACTCGGCCAACGAGGCAGTCATTACATAAATAAATATTTAAATAACACTAAACTTGGTACAAAAACTCCAAAAGACAGAAGAATTCACAACACAGTAAGCTAAAACCCAAAGCTGCCAAAATCGAGACCATTATCAGGATAATATGGCTGAAAACTTCCATAGTTCAACGACAGTATTACCATATATGAATTATTAATGAGTTGCAGAGGTACCTATGTATGTATGTATGTGTATATGTTTGGTGAAAAAATATGTATTATTCAATAAGGGAGGATGCTAAACGGTGTATGGGTGAGAAGCAACTCTTTATAACACTTTTAAACTATGATTGGTGTGGGTTTTAATATTCTGCTAAAAAAGAGGTAGGTAGTGGATAGAATTTTTTTTTAAATCGTTGCCCTCATTAGGATTTTCTCCAGTGTCGTGGGTGCGTTTACAAACATACAAGTTCACATACACAATGACACCCAGACCCGAAACAACAATTTGTGGATCACACAAAGTGTTGTTCCGTCCGGGAATCGAACCCGCGACACGTTGCACGGCAGCTGGTTGCCCAGCCACCGCGCCAACCGTGCAGTCTATTTGAAGGAGTATTGTGATTTTTTCCTCATTTTTCTATTAATAAATATCTTACCTTTACTCTTTTATCTTTTGTAACACCGGCTCCCGGTATAAAACACATTATTATATCATTCTTTACTTATTAGTACTTATCTGGTTTGTCAAAGAATTTATTAATGGTTTTTGAAATTTAGATTTTGTTTACACTTTAATAGACGGCTTACGATAAGAAGATAGATATCACGATCTCACAGAAAGCCGGAATAAATTATCGCTTGTGTTGTTTTTCTTCAGGTGAGTGAAGAGACTAGGAACCTTCACAAGTCGGCAGCGTACTTATAACTCCTCCTATTACCATAGACAACTACAACACTAGATGTCTATAGACAGCGCTCATCACTTACTATATATCAAGTGATCTTGTCTACTCCTTGGCCTGATATCTCATTAAATAAAAATCATCGCTTACTGTAACGATGTGCCTTTACATAAAATCAACTAAAACATCTTTACAAGTGTAATTATCTGTGAAACCGAACTTAAAATATGTTTTTGAATTTATCTTATAGTGATACAAACTTTTTTTAAGTCGTTTAAAGTTTAAAATTATAGTAAGTAGCTGTATCTACTTTACTGAATTTGCGCGAGTAAAATATTTAATGATCAAAAATATTTTTATACTAACAATCGTGACACATACTAAATTAACTAAAAATCGCGGGTTACTCACGTGAATATACTGAGATAAGCTCTACTAGTTCCGAACCATAGAGGGGTTCTTCCTCATGAGCAGCGTCCACGGTCGCGGCGATGTCGTTGTAGAGTTAGGCTGCGTGACACCCCGAGCGTACGGCGCGTCGCGTTCCGCGGGCGCCTCAAAGAGCCATCAGACCACCACAGATGGGGCCCAGTAGGGCCGATGCCGATTCGGAGTCGCGGAGAACCTAACGGGTAACCGGGGCTCCGGCTCGACGTGCAGGAGAAGGAACAGGGTGATTTTTTAGTCAGTAAGAGTCTGACACTCCCTTCCGCCTCACCCAGGCGGGAGCAGTCATTCGATGATTTTCCCCCCTTAAAAAAAAAGGCTGCGTGACATCGCCACGACCATAGGTAATCAAAAATATTGTTTAACAACTTTTTATGTAGATGCCACAAAAGTCACCATATGATTTGTTACTTAATCAACAAGGCAGGTGTCATGATTCTCGGCTCTAGAGCTCTCTGGGGTTCTATATTAGTTACGCTATAGTCTTTCATCCCTGAAGCGTACGGCGTGTTCTGCATTGGATATTGAATTACCTACCTATCTACCTACCTATGTTAATCACACTCATATATAAGCACTTAGATAATACACACAGTAATAATGCCTTTGTGAATTTGCAGTTCTCAATCATATTACAGATAATTTCACAAAGCTGCATTCGTAATTAATTATTCAAATATTTGTTACTATTAGCAACACGGAGCAAGACAATCAGTTGCTATTACTAATGCTGCAGGCGCTTCACTAACTAAGCAGAATATAATATTCTGTCGTGTCTGTCAATTAAGTGAAGTAGTAATATTGGCATGAGCATTCATATAGATTTCATTTTATATCGGTAATGTAAAAAAAAATTATAATACCAGTGTGACACAAATCTGATTAAATTCAATTTTTTGTTATTAGATTTTACTATAAAATGGCTTTGCCTGGAACAAAGGAAGATAAAAGGAAGTAAATAAAGAAATAGCTTTTATAATACAATACTAGTATTCGCTACAGGAACATGCGATTAGCATCAGATTCACAAAGCGAAAAATCACCTGAATACGGGCGACAGCGCCTGCTAAAAAATAACAAGCAATCGTGTGGGGCTGCAGAATTGCTCGTACTTTTCGTAGTGGCGCACAATGGTAAAGTCTATTCCTGGTCTGTTCATGTAATATTCATATTGTAACACGTACTTTCTCTATACATATAGACATTTCATTAAGATAATTTCATAGATTATTATTACTATGTTTTGGTTTATTATACGATAGTATTACGGGGTTATTTAAAAATTTCTCAGTAGTAGCACGCAGTCTGGAATTGTGCCCGAGATATGTCAATAGGCTCACCCCCGTATTACATTCAAAACATAAATATAGTAGCATTAAGAGCCGTAATGTGCACCTCTGCCCCTTCGGGCATTAAAGGCGTGATGTTCTATTAATTTCATAGATACCATTTTTAATCAGAACATATTTTATAAAAAGCATTTGCATTTGAAATTAAACTGTCAAACACCAAGCGGTCACCGGTGACCGCGACCTATTGTTCTTTAATTGTGTCTATAAAACCGGTACTCGACGAGTTAAAAGGTTTTTGTTTATATATTAAAGTTATATCTACGTGGCTCCATGGTTATTTATAGCATTAAATAAATACATATTAATAAACAAATCTCATAAATACTTCAAACGGCCTTATATTTTATAATCTACAATAGAATTATATAAATAGGTGAGTCACTTTCATTTTTGGATACTGTGAACAAACCCTAAGAAAGATCATATGAGATTTTTATAATTAAAATTGTACATCGAAATGATCTTTTTTTGGAAAGGACAGTACTTTCGTACTCCCGTTATATCGTCGAGGCCTAAAATACGTGATATTTATGCTTAAAATTGACTATTGGAGCTACTCTTTAATAGTTCGGTTAACCTAAATTTTATCATAATACCTATATTACCTAAACCCAACTTTTTCTGTTATATAAAAATTGTTATTATAGAACATCGGTTCCATTGCAACTAGTCAGATTTATGATAATACTAGCTTCTGCCCGCGACTTCGTACGCGTAATCCCATTTTTTCCCGTCCCCATTCGTGATTTTCGGTAAAATGTAAAAAAAAAGTATTCATTTAAAAGTATCCTGTGTCGGTCTCCTGGCTCTAAGCTACCTCCCTACTAATTTTCAGCCAAATCTATTCTGCCGTTCTTGAGTTATAAGTGGTGTAATTAACACGACTTTCTTTTATATATATATAATATAGATACAGATATAGATTACCGTGGTCTAGTGGTTTACGGTCATCGCAGCTTTTAAGTCTAACATTACCTAATAAAATGCATCAAGTGTGTGTTATCTAAATTAAGGTATTAGGTACAGAATGTTTCATTTGATATTATTATTCGAACCAGGTGCTTTTTAGGGGTTAAGGAAACTAATGGTATACCTAATTAAAAATCCCAACAAAACACATAAAATCATTGTTTATTTAGTGAATGAGTTTGTAATAAATACATACACAGTGAAATCTATTTCGTTTTCGTCCCGAAGTAAAATGGTTCTGTCTCGGTAATACATTAGTTATACAAAAAAATAAATAAAACTAAAATAAAAATAACTGGTGAACCATTGCAAAACCAAACTTCGAAAGCACATACCAACACATAATTAAGTAGTACCTACCTACTTTCTTTAAAATAACTGTGAGTAGTACCTACATCATCGAAACATCCCGCCATGTAATTCTCGAACAGATTTTTGTCGTCGGGTGGATTAACAATATTTCTATGTAATATTGAATACCAAGGAAACCAAAATAAGATCTACTTAATAACACACTACCATCACGTTAACCTAATTGAATTTATATTCGGAAACTTTGGTTTCAGTTGACAACCCTATGACTTCTACTGTTGATGGCCCATCTGAAAGTTACCAAGATATTAGTAATTATGTCACTTAAAAATAGACTATAAAATTAAATTCAACAGCCTATAAGTGCCCACTGCTGAACAAAGCCTCTTCGCACACGGAGTAGGTTTGAGCATTAATCACTACGCTTGCTCATTGCCGGTTAGTGATTATAAATCGGTTTCCTCACGATGTTTTCGTTCACCGTTTGTCAGTGGTATCTAAATAATCTTAGACATTTCATATTAGTTGTATAAAATATTTTCAAGTTGCCAATAAATAAGTATAGATTTCTCTATGTGTCAATTTTTAGACAATTTTTAATCACTTACCAATATCAAACCACTGGGTAGCGGGTATTCTTGACTCCTTCCGAGCTTCAGATATTGCTTCCCTGAGAGCTAATGCAACCACTACTGACATACACATCGGAGGCTCGCCGACAGCTGGGAGCAACAAATAGCCTTATTTACAAAACAGATCAAATTAATACATTGCGAATTGAATGAATGGGTATTCTCTACGCAGTTGGCGCAGTGGCGACCGTAAATTCTTAGGTGTGACGTAGTAATGCAATTGTATCCGTTAACGCCACTACTTGAACTGAAATACGTAATATCAGATAACATTCGTATACTTTACCTTTAGCACCATGAATGGCTGCATAACTGTAAGAATTCTTTTTAAAATAGATTCTGAAGTCTTGTGGTATATCAGTGTTCATGGGCACAGCATAGTTCCAAGTTCTATTAGTTAACAATTCTCCGGTATTTTTGTCATAAACTAATTTTTCCGAAGTCCAATAGCCTACGCCCATCATAAAACCACCTTCCACCTACAATTAGAAAGAAAGTGGTTCATTATTATTATGCCTATTAAAAACATTCTATAAAGAATGAAATACAATATAATAATACATAAAAATTCTCAAGTGTCGCATGGCGTCCGAAATTCTTGGTTTGCGATGTTTTTGTCAATGCAATTAACATTATTTTTGTTTACAATCGAATGGTTGAGAAATGTACGATGTCTTACCTGTCCGACATCAATTCCTGGACTAATACTTTTACCAACATCCTCCATTATATCCACCCTCAATAACTCCGATTCTCCAGTCAACACGTCAATCTCAACTTCAGCCAGTGCGACTCCAAAAACATTGTAGAAATATTTAGTAGCATCACTGCTATTGACAAAACTTTGAGCTTGCAAGTCTATTCCAGCAGTATGAGCTGCTTCAACTATCTGTTCCCACGTTGCACCTTCCATACTATTCCTTATTGGTTCAAGCCTTTCCAAAAGCATTTCACAACATCTACTTACACCCAAACCGATGTTCTGCGATCCTAAACTTCCAGCAGTGTCTGTACTGTTTGGAGCCGACATTGTATCATATCCTTTGACTTTGATTTTACTCAATGGGATTTTAAAATAATAAGCGCATATCGCACGCTGAGAACGAAAGTGACCTATTTCAAAATTTTGATAAAATGAGTTAATTATACGTAATGACTCAAAAAAGTATACGCTACCACACTAGTATTAAAAAACGGACCTAATATGGTCAGAGAGAGCTAGGACACATATTCGGTCTCTTTTTAGTAGACCGCTTTACACGCGCCGCGCCCGAGGGAAAGAGACGTAATCAGTATTGTACCGCACGTGATGTAAACAGGTCGTGACGAGTTTAGTGCAGCAGTGACCGATTACGCTTTGAGCCTGTTTTGTATCAACTTAGGAGGTAAGTTTTGTTTCAATATTTAATCATAAAGTGACCGATTGAGACAAAGGTCACTTTACCTTTTCTTATATAAGCAACTTATGTGTCCAAAATCAAGTTCAGTCACTTATTTATTCACGTATAAGTTTAACTCAAAGACTCATTGTAAATTAGGTTATTTTAATATTAAATAGATATTTTTTATTTGTACTATTATAAAAAAAGACTCTTTAACATATTATGATGTGTTTTACAAAAGACATATTGATTAATAGTTCACTTTATTGTTTTTCAGAGTTGCATAATATCATAATTAAGCCTGTTATCTAAAAAGATAAAAATGAAAAGGAGTGCATTAATACTTCAAATGGTGGACGAAAAACAAAAAACCGAGGTAATTAATTATTTTTTATTTAATTAAAGTATTGAAATGTTTAATTAGCCGTTATTATAAGTACCTAAACGTTTTATATTCTCGTTTTTTATCATTACGTATGTACAGAATGGTTGTAAACTAAGATTTTGTTTGCAGAATACTAATGAGGCTTGTGATATCGACAAGGAAAATGTACCATCTAGTCCTTCTATTATAGAAAATTCACCACCACCAGACCAGGGCATTCAAATAGCATTACGCGAAAACAAGATATTAAACCGATAGGTGTAAGTGTTTCATTATTTTATTAGCGGTGTGAAACCTCATACCTATTTAATTAGATTTGTAATCTTTATCTTTTTTCCAGGATGTTCAGAATCCTCAGCAAGAGATAAATGATGCATCAGAAACTATCGATAAGACGTCAAGTAAAGTGTTTGCCGTCCGGCCACGTTCAAGAATTTCAAGTAGTAGCAGTTCATCCTCATCTTCATCTTCATCCTCGAGTAGATCTTCATCCTCCAGTAGCAGATCTTCATCCTCCAGTAGCACGGACAAATCTGAGACTGTAGCAATTCCTGGCCCAAGTACTAATTTAAGGCCTCAAGCAGGTATTCCACGTTCGTACACTCAATCGCCAGTTAATCCACAAGAAAGTGATGTGGATCTAAGCGACTCAGATCCAACATACCATACTGAACAATCCAACAATCCAAGGAGTAGACGTATTTTCCAGCTCTTCATCTGCCAATTCATTGGTCCAACCAGAACCCTCAAAGAGTAGAAAACGAAAAAGGAACCCTGTTAATTGGAAGCAAAACCAATCTAAAAAGTCAAGAAACTCTGGAGAGAGTTATAGGTCTATGGCAAAATCTAAAAAAGTCATTCCAGCTAGACAAATCAAAGAAACTTGTACAAGTAAGTGTAGGCTTAAGTGTTTCAATAATATAAATGAGACTGAGAGATCTGAATTATTTAAGAATTATTGGGCTTTGTCCAATTTGGAATTACAACGTTCATATATTAGGGCATCCATGATGGAAGTACAACCTAGATATAGATATTCTAATGCTCAAAATCCTCGCCTGCCAAACAATGCGTTTTATTTCACTGTAAATGGTAATAGAATTCGTGTTTGTAAACAATTTTTTTATAAATACTTTTAGACATATCGGATAGACAACTAAGAACTGTCAAGAGTAAAACTAATAGCCATGGTTTTCGTAGAACCTGAGGGTAGAGGTCGGCATGAAAAACAAAAAAAGGGTAGACCCTGAGCTAATACAATGCATCAAAAAATCACATAAATACGATACCGAGGGTCGAGTCTCATTATTTAAGAGCTACGACTAGTAGGGAATTCATATCTGACAGTAAAACTATCAGAGACCTCTGGACTGATTTTAATAATGAACAAAAAGACAGAAGTCTCCCGCAGTGCGACTATTGGTTATACCTGAACACTTTTAATAAAGATTTCAATATAAGCTTTTTCCAGGCGAAAAAAGATAGGTGTGAAACGTGTGTTGCATATGAACTTGCCCCCGCAAGTACGAAATTACTGCTAAAACCTAAATATGATACACATCTTAAAGAAAAAGAACTGTGTCGCAATGAAAAACGGATGGATCGTCAAAATATTGATGAGACACATATTTGCGCAATATATGACCTTCAGTCTGTTATGTTATGTCCTAGTCCTGATTATTTTTACTATTCTTCCAAAATAAACTGTCTTAATTTTACAATTACACAATTAAAAAATGGGGAGGATGATAAAAAGTCTTACGGAGATGTTTATTGTTATTTTTGGGATGAAACCCAAGGCCAAAGAGGTGCCAATGAAATAGGTTCGTGTATTTTTGATTACCTTAGTACTTTAAACAGAAATAACGCAGGTAAGAAGTTACATGTAACTTTTTACTCTGACAACTGCACAGGTCAAAATAAAAATAAAATCATTGCCACTTTATACTCCTATGCTGTCACATATTTTGATAATATTTACAGTATTACTCATAAGTATCTAATCAAAGGACATACTCAAAATGAAGCTGATAATGTACACAGCTTAATTGAAAAAGAAATTAAAAAAAACATTAAAGCTGGACCCTTATACATACCTGTTCAATTCGCTACCTTAATTAAAAGCGCTCGTAAATCAGGAAAGCCTTTCATCGTTAAAGAAATAAATTACGAATTTTTCTTAAATCTCAAAAAACTCCAAGAACAATGGGCATACAATTTTAACGAAAATATAAATAAATTACCAGTATTGTGGAATGAAATTAAATCAATAAAATTTATTAAAGAGGAGTTGTTTCACTTGTATTATAAAATATCATATTCTGATGAGGTGTTCTCTGAGATTGACATGAGGAATAAACGTAAAAAAATGTTAAGTTACAACGAAATCCTGATTGAACAATTGTATAAGCAACCAATAGAGTTAAAAGAAAATAAAAAAAGAGATCTTAAAGATTTAGTAAGAAAAAATTTAATACCTAGCATATATGCGAGTTTTTATAATTCCTTATAGATTAATCGTTGTAATAACAAAGTTAATAATAAGTGATTCTTAAAAAGCTAATATACTATGTATCGTACTTAATAATAAGTGATTCTTAAAAAGTTAATATACTATGTATCTTAAAAAATAAATAGTATGTTTGAATAGTAATTATAGTAGTGGAGAGTAAGTACAAAGTTCCTAAGTTATATTTTGGAAGACTGTTGTTTTATTTTAGACTAGTGTTGATTTAAGAGAAACCTGTTTTAATTTGTTACAAAAATAATTATTTTATGTTATTTTTTTCCAATTTAAGAATGTTTTTATAATTAGTTTAAGTCAGAACAATACTTTTGTGTGGAGTCATTACTTGATTTATGAAACTAAGTCATGAATAAATGAAAGACTGTGTTGATTTTTCTATGCCAGTATTATTTTGAAAAGTTGTCTTTTTTTTACTAAACCTCTAGTAAGTTAGAACAATACTCACTGTGTTGTATGATACCTATTTTTGATACAATTTTTAATTATTATTTCATATTTCTTGTTTATATATTATTATTAAGTCTATTTTACCTCAGAAGTGACTCAATATCACTTAACAATTTTTCATTGTTTTCATTTTGTCCTTTTGTGTAAGACTGCAAACCTTTTTTAGAGAAAAAGTGTCATTTTTTGAAAAAGGATTGATATTTTTTAGTACTGCTCAAAATAATATAGACCCTTGACCAAAAAAGTCATCAGGAATTACAATACTTTCAATTCTAAAGTGACCTATTTTTTTAAAAATGTTATTCTATATTATAAATATAAAATATAAAAAAAAATAATAATGTATATTTATGGTAATGAAGTCCAATAATGATACAAAAACGATTTTTTTAACTTATGTTGTCATAATATTAATTTATTGGCGAATAAATGGAATATCGTGAATGTGTCCGACACATTTTTATCTATTTCCAAAAATCGTATAAAAATCGTAATTTTGAAATCGGTCACTTTCGTTCTCAGCGTGCGATATTTGTATCGCTTTGGTGTTTATACCTTGTCCCAGTTCTACTCCTCCATGAGCGATTGCTACACTTCCATCACCATGGTAAACCGATACTATTGTGTTACTGTATCCCACGATTGACATTGGCCATCTAGTAAATGAAAATCTTAGCCCACGTTTCTTCCATCTGTTTTGTTTATTAAAATTATCTACTGCTAGTCTTCGGTCATCATACTTCGCTTGACTTTTAAGAGTATCATACATGTCTTCTATAGCACCGGATGTCTGTCTGTCCAAGTTGTTTAAACGGACTTGAATTGGATCTAACGCTAGTTCATAGGAAATTCTTTCCATGATTAGCTCAGCTTGAGCAATACCATCTAGGACTCCTAAGGACATAATAATAATTTTGGTATTAGTGATACCAAGTAAAAAGAACATAATTTATGCGAAATATTTATGCAGTCATTGACTTATAAAAGTAAAATAAAAAGAGTAAGTTAGTGACCGTGGCACAAACTTGTTTAAAGTAGAAATTAAATTTAATATTCTAGTATGCTTACCAAAAATCAACTAGACATTGGGTATATTTCTTTTATTTTCTACGATCATGAAAACAAAATAAATAATTTTCTAGTGTATAGGGTCTTACCAATAGCCCTTAACCAATCATTCTTAGGGACATCAGTGGTAGCGTTGTAACAGCGTAATTTCCATCTGGATTTATCGTAGCAGTTGTTATAAGAGTTTATAACAAGAAAGTTGAATTGGGAGTTGACAATGTGACCATTGTCCATGTACAAGTCATAATTATTGTATTGAATAACACCATTATTGTTGACACCGATCTGTAAAATATGAATGTAACAGAATTAAATGTGGCTTTATTTACTTTATGCAGACTAAAGCTCATTTTTATCAAGCTCTACTAAATATTAAGGAACCTATGACAGTTCACAGGTTTCAAATTTTGTTGAATGCCTCCTATCCCAGTGGAAAAATGACATTTGACACAAAATTTTGATTTTCACCAACCTAAAGGTGACACCTTACGTTACAAGTACGGGGATAATTTAAGAGCACGCTAAGTAAATTTTAGTTAAGAGGTGATTTAGAGGTGATCGAAAATTGGCGTAACTGTTTGGACGTGAAAACCTTAAGATCAAGCTCAGGGACATGCTTTTAGAAGGTCGCATGTCTTGGAGTGGAGGATAACCGGATGCTAATGTTAAACTTAATTCAATTTGTCAAAGTTAAAGTCAAAATCATTTATTTCAATTAGGCCAGAATGGACCTTTTAAACGTCAACAAAAAAAAAATTTAAAGTGAAGCTATTTGCTCATTCCAAGGTGTTCAAGTCCTATGGAGAAGAACGAGCAAGAAACTCCATAGGTTACTCTTTTCCAATCAGGTTCACAATACAATTTACTAGTTACATAGTTTTGCTGTTTGGATTGTGCGAGAACAATGTAACACTAAAATCCAGTCCAAGTGATCAAAAAAGAAAATAACCTTAAGGACAATAATACAGTCTGGAGCTGACCAGTCTCAGTTGACGACGCCCGTTCACGAACATGACACGTACACCAGCACCGCCCAACTCAGCATATGTAACTGTATGATGAGTAAGATCAAAATAACATTTACCTCATAATTGGTAGTATTAGGTAGTTTTTTCCCCAGTGATCTCGTGGTACTGGTCAGAGATTGAATGAACCTGCACGTTCGGTTCAATTTCAACACCACTAGACCGCAGGCGACAGCTGCTTGGATGTTGCGAGTGAGCTTGATGCCGTAAGAACCACCAACGCGTCTGACGTAGATATCGATACTGTCAACAATATAGAATGTAATTTAAAATGACTCGTCTGAAAGAAAAATAATATTATCTGTTTGGGTGGCAGTTTCATTTTCAAACTTAATATTTAAAAATGTGTAACAATTATCAGTAGCAACTTACCTACTTTGATCAATGTTCAAAGCTTTTGACATTCCTACGTGCATTGAATCCACACTGTGTGAACTCGTGTAGACTTTTATTCCTTCCTCCGTGGGTCGAATGACACAAGGTATGTTTTCTATAGAGAAGTGGTATTGAGCATACATTGTAACTCCACCTTTGATAACTTTCTGTATATCTTTACCTACATCAGTAGCATCATCGGTACCATATAATGAAACTCTACTTGGATCTTTGATAGCGTCTTTGACATCTAAGACTGGTGTGCGAAGATTTTTATATTGCACTTTAACCATTTTTGCAGCTTTTTCTGCAAGAACTCGTGTTTCTGCCACAATTACTCCAAGAGGTTGGTTACAATATTTAACTTTTTCTTCGCAAAATATTTCCTCGTCTACTGGAAACCGGCTGCCATTGGTTGGTGTAAAAGAATTATTTCCAGGTATATCTTTTGCCGTGTAAAAGGCAAGAACACCTGGTTGGCTCTACGGTAAAAAAGTTATTAAGAAGTAGAGTTTCAAAACTGAACATTTGTAATTACTTAATTAAATTGGAAAAATGATACATACTAAAGCCTTTGATGCGTCTATGGATACAATTTCACCAACTCCTATAGTAGTGACCACGAAAGCAGCGTGTACTTCATAAGGTAGTGTAGGCATATCATCAGCATAATGTGCTTCTCCTGCACATTGTATCTGAATCATTTTCAAAATATTTATTATTTCAGTCATGATTTTTAAAATTGAAAGATGTTTACAAGTTTGCTCCTTAATAAGAGTGTGTTTTAGCTTCATATTCCAATATGGTTACAAAATCTCAAAATTTTAAGGACGTTTAACTTTGCTGGTTTTTGTGAATGAGTTTAAGTGATATTTAACCACACTATTCATATTATAAACAAAATTATTTTAATTATATCCACTTACCAAAGCTTCAACTTTCTGAACAGGTTCAGTCAAAGGGTATGTTGAGGGATCTGTTTCGAAATACTGAACACCTTTGGATACTGGACGTGTGTCGTGAATTTTTGTTGCTCCTGACTTGTAACGAGCGCTTAGTAAGTTATCTGGACATAACGATAGAAGACCCTGAAAATATAATAAAATGAAATCCTCCTTACATTATAAAAGTAAAAGTGTATATGTATATTTGTTATGCCATCACGCCAAACCGGCTGAAGGCATCGGGATGAAATTTAGTACAGGGGTCAATTATGGTCTAGAATAATACATAGGCTACTTTACATCGCACGGCAACGCAAGCGAAACTGACGCAGAAGAAAAACCTAGTGTGCAACGTGTTCTTACAAAAACATTAAAAAAGGCCAAGAAGTTCATAACAGTTTGAGCAAAACAACCAATTTTCACAACATACTCTTCAATGACGAAGAAAATTTATTAAGAGCAATCAGATTTCTAGCTTACCTTGTAAAACAATCCTAATGCCAATTTTCGCCTGAATTCAACGCTAGGTTCTGGTGGATTGTCCACAACTACAATTTCATCACTCAAAACTTTCAAAGCAGATTGTAAAGTATCGTTTGTAAATAGTTGTTTTCCAGTCAAAAATGATTCTGTTTTATAAGCTCTTGTGAATGATGGTGATAGACCACCGAAGGCAATTCTTGAGGATATAGCTTTATTTTGATTATTTAGTTGGTATACAAATCCTGCATTTACTATCGCGTGGTAGTTTGTACTTCGTGGCATAACCTGTACAATGAAAGATACAAGTAAATGTTAATCTAGTGGATGAGGATGAGCGTAATTGTGACTAGTGGAGTGAGAGCTCTGATTTTCCAGATATACTTATTATCTAGAGGTCAATGAAAAGTGGTTATTTGATTTATTACTTTCTACTTACCTTAAACGTAGTTACTTTATATTCACAGCTCAAAGGAGGTAGCAACGCATTCAGGATAACCAAACCTGTCATATCAGTTTTTAGGAACTCCTCCATCGTCACAGTTTTAGTTCTGGAACGGCGGCTCACTGAAATTGATGATATCTATTCATATTTGATAATTTATAATTCTCTTATCAGTAGTCAATCTGGTTCCTCTTGCAGCAGTAAATAGAAGTACCTGGGTAAAAATGATGTTCCATATACGCCATTTATGTAGCAGCTGCTATACTATCTGTAGGCTATTCTGCAAAGGCACTGTATGGTTTTCCTACCTTAGCGCTGGCACACTCAAGACATAAATATTTGTTGTAGTACAAACCTAAAGTGAGCTGTGCTCCACAGTCTGCAGCAGTAGAAAAATGTCAGATGCAAAGAAATTGTGTTTATTTTTAATCATCAGATTACCAGCTATTGTCCCGATCTAAACAAACGTAAAAATATAATTAGTAAATGAACTACGAGACGTCTGCCGGTTCCGGTATTTTCACGGTTATGTATACTGTAGATCCTGGCTTACAGAAGATGCAGCGGTTTTGGGAGGTTATGGTGGGCTGGTCCCATTAAAAAATAAAGAAACATTACGAGACTTATGTTCACTAGGAATTATTATACTTAGCTAAATCAGAGAATTCTAGATTCAATTTCAATAATTACTATTAGGTTTCTGATTACAAATTGAAAAAATTTAAGCTAGAGAAAAATTTCGACGACCTAAAAAAGCACGAAAGCAAGCTTCAATTAAATACTAGCCACTTAGTATTATGTGTGTTAAAAGTTAGCATGCTCATTTCGAGCATGCTTGCGAACCGACTGGCGTTCGATATTTTAGCATGCTCAATAGAACGCTTTTTAGCATGCTCAAGTCAAAGTCAAAATGGTCAAAAAGGAAGGCACTTTTGAACGTCAGCAATAGAAATTTAAAAGTGAAGCTATTGCTCATTTCGAGGTGTAGATTCCTATGGAGAAGAACGAGCAAGAAACTCCATAGGTTACTCTTTTCCAATCAGGTTCACAATAAAATTCTACAGTTACACAGTTTTATTGGTTCGATTGTGCGAGAACAATGTAACACCCAAATCCAGTCAAAGAGATCTCTTGCTACCTAAGAACATGTGTTCCAGTAGCTTTTTAGCATGCTATTATAGACCATGTGTGGCGGTTTATTGATAGAAAATATTCATTATCTCAAATGACATGGGAATGTAATTTCATTTAATGTTATCTTAAAGTTCACACTTACAGTTTACAAGATAAAGCACTTTAATTGACATGACAATGACAAGAGTATGGCGACAATAATATTTGTTCACGAACAGGGAAGTTTCAACTATCGAGTCAGCTGCAGTGTGTATTATAGTTGCCTATGTCTATTTATGTACTGTTTGCAATGGACTTTACTTTCATAATTTGTATGTTTTTGTTTCTTTTTGTTTCGGGAATTGAAGACAGTGGCCGTTCTTTCACTTGTTTCTGTCATTATTAGTTCTAAATTAATTATTATGTTTTTCAGCCTACTCACGTATTATTTGACGAGGAACTTAACTACAAACATAATGAAAACATCACGCCTTTTATCCCCGAAGGGGTAGGTAGAGGTGCACATTATGCCACTATACAATGTAACATCCACTTTTCACTATATATGTTACGAGTCCCATGTAATAGGGGAGGGTCTATTGCCATTTACCGGGCACAATTCAATACTCTGTGCTACTACTGAGATTTTTTTTAAAACCCTTTAATACTTTGCCTGACCTGGGAATCGAACCCGAGAGCCTTGCCCGGCAGTCGCACTTTTTTTTTCAAATACAAATATTGTTTATTTCGTCAATGTAGGTATGTTACAATAGATGGTAGATAATATTATGGTAGTGCGCCACATTGTGTCTGTACAGACATACAAAATTTTTATAGTATGTTCTTAATCTAGTGTGTTTACAGACAATAATCTTCTCTGTCTACATTATGGAACATAATACACCTAATTACAAACTAAATTAATATTAACATCAAGTTTTAATAAAACTATTATTTGTGTTGAAAATCTTGAGACCACTCGGCCAACGAGGCAGTCAAACATATTAATTAATTTAGTGCCTATGTCTTACGAAAGGTATAACATAAATATAATTATTTTTCTTTATAAGTTGACGCTTATTATATATCTGGTATAATTAAAATTATAAAGCTGTAAGATTACATTAATTTCGGTTAAAACTAGTACTTAACTAAAAAGGTCACTTACGTTTCTTACTGGTATATGAGCAACCTTCTTCAAATGTTCATACAATTTTGTCAAATACGTAAAATATTCTTGTTTTGCTATATGTTTGAATATATCCAGTAGTTCAGTCAGCGTCACTCCACCGTATATGATTAGGTTCTGATCCAGTTTGTAACCTTTCAGTTCAGACACTGCATTAATATCAATTATTATTCTAGGATATTCTTCTATCGGATACGCTCCTAGAACATGACAATTATGTATCTTAGCTTTATTATTATCAATCCTTTTATACACATTCTGGGGTTTAGAGTTTTCCAATTGAAATTACTCAACCCATTCTCAGAGAAATAGTTTTCTTACCTCTAGCAGTATTCCCAGCTAACAACATGTACGAATCATTGCCTTTATCGTCTAGAATATCAAAAATATTCTTTAAACTTGTAGCTTTATACCAAAACTTTCCATCTTTTAATTTCATTTGTATCATTTTAGAATTAAGGAGATCATCATCTTTTACCATGCACCATTCCGTATCGTCACAATGTTGTTCATCACAGTCTTTTCCAATTTTTCTGCAGATTTTGAGATCTTCAATGTCTTGTATGTTCTTGTCTACAGTGCTGTCGACAGCCAGGCTTTTGAATGCATCAAGGATTGGTCTGTACCCCGTGCAACGGCAAACGTTACTACCTAAAGACTGTTCTATTTCCAACTGTGTTAGGTTCGAATTGCTTTCTTGTAGACTGAAAACAAGATCATGAATTAGTAATACACAGATGATATTTACGTGTATTGTCATTATATCGTAATTTTATCTTTTTTTGTATTTTGTATATAAATTGGAAGTCAAATTTTCATACCTGTGCATGGACATGATCCATCCTGGTGAACAATATCCACACTGGGTTCCATTGTACTTAGCGAGGGTGGTCTGCAAAGGATGGTATCCTATATTCCTATTCCCAAGTCCTTCGATGGTGGTAATATCGAGGCCATGGCATGATACCACTGTCAACATGCACTGGAATGGAAAAAATCTGTAGCTTCATTATTGAGGTCAACGACATAGTAAGTATTGTTGAAACCACATAAGTTCATCATCAAAACTATCTGTCGCTTTATTGCATCTTACGATTTCATGAATCGGTTTAGCATGTAAGGTTCTTCAAATTTTGGAGTTCCTTGTTGGAGTTTGAAATGTGCCAATAATAAAACTAAATCAAGTTCTAATTATTACCGAGTTGACAGCATACGGTTGACCTTGAGATTGTTTGACGGTGACCATGCAGGAGCCACAACCAGCTTCACGGCACATGTACTTGGTGCCTCGCAGTTCCAGATAATCTCGGAGATAGTCCAGTAACGTTAGGTCAGAATCCACTTCACAGCTAACAACTACAGAGAAAAAATATTACCAAGCATAGATTAGTTCTTTATTCTTCATCTTTCTGCCCTTGTTCTTAGTAACTTGGTATTAGTCTATAGGTATATCTTTTAAATAGTCCTGTCCACCTCAGCCTGTTTACAAATTGTTAGACTGGGTGAAAGTCATTTGACATCGAAAAAAAAAAAACACGGGGCTCAAAACTAGTATTGTACCTCTGTAATTAAGTGTTCTTTCTACGTGATAATTATATATTTTTTTCACAATTCGTGCATTGAAGTCGTTTAAAAGATAAAATTAAAATAAAACAATATATAAACTCGCGAATCTTAAATTATTTTACGACTTCAGTTGATAAGACGCAACCTAATTCGCACGCAATATAACAAGCAGGCTGATAAAATGAATGTGTGGTGTGTCACAGTTTTATTTTAGCCCCATAGCCTCGGTATGTAATCAATCGAAAATAGTTCAAATAAAGTTGAAAAGTAACAGGTATAAATTAAAAAAAAGATCAAATAAACTAAATTTTTAAAAAGTAGGTGTAGCAATAACTGCAGACAATGACCACTATAAATAATATTTTTTTTATGGAGGCAAACGAGCAGACGAATCACCTAATGGTAAGCGATCAGCGCCGCCCATGGACACCCGCAACACCAGAGGAGTCACAGGTGCGTTGCAGGCCGTTTATAAAGGAGTACGCTTGAAGGTTTGAAGGTCGTATCGGTTCGGGAATATCGTCGACGACATAATTATCATTCCACAGTTTTGCTGTGCGAGGCAGGAAGCTAAGTGATAAGCGCACAGTTGTGGCCTGCCAACCATCAATATGATGGGGATGCATATGCTGTCATGAGGGTCGATGGCGAAAAGATGCGGCAGGTATCAGGTCAAACAATTCCTCAGAGCATTTCCCGTGGTATAAGCGGTAGAAAAAGCACAATGAAGCTACATCTCTACGCATTGCCAAAGTGTCGAGCCGGTTTGAAACATCCAGACATCCAACAATCCGAACGGCACGCCGCTGAATACGGTCCAGAGGAAGAAGCTGGTACTGGGGTGCCCCCGCCCAAAGATGAGAACAGTATTCCATGTGGGGCCGCACCTGTGCCTTACATAGAAGCAGGCGGTGGGCCGGGGTAAAATACTGCCTCGATCTGTTGAGCACACCAAGCTTCCTCGAGGCTAATTTGGCTTTATCCTCTAAATGACCGCAAAACTGGACGTCGCTCGAAATGCTGACACCAAGTATTCCAATAGCGGCTGAGGCAGTTAGGGGGGTGATTTGAAACTGAGGAGAGACGACCAAAGGCAGTTTCTTAGCGGTAAACACAGAGACTTGTGTCTTAGTGGGGTTAAACTGGACCAAATTAAGTCCACCCCAGTCAGAGATTCTCCCTAAAGAGGTCTCGATTTCAAACACGAGTCTGTTTCGGCTCTCTATGACGTTTTCCCGAGAAATGTTAGCGCGGCCGGTGTAGTAGGCATCGCCTGTGCTGTCATCCGCATAACAATGAATGCCGCTGATTTGCAGCATGTCATTGATATGGAGTCAGAATACTGGCTTTCGCCCACCCAGGTGAATAACCTGTATTCTTTTATTTATTTATTATCATAGTTTTTTTATGCTCCACGGACTCGTTACTATGCCTTTGTCATTAAAGAACATTTCTTTTTTTGAGTGGCTTATATTGAGCAGTAGATGTCTTTAATGTCTTCTAGATGGGCTGACTGGTAGCTACTAGCTTTTGGCGGATTCCTGTGACCTTTATCAGGTCGTTTGTCCAATTTGTGAGTGGATGACCTGGTCTGCGCTTGCTGGTACGTAGCCTAAATTCCGTCACCATCAATTAGAGATATATTGTTAAACTGGCAAGATACGACTACAGACGACTGTAATCGTTTTCTTTTATTCACTACTCGATAAGATCCGATAATCAAGACGTTGGATAGTTATAATATTTTAATCATTACTAAACTTAATCAAAACTAGCATAAGGTACTGTCTGATAATATCCCAAAAAATATCTCTGAAATCAGCTAGCAATTACATTTACACCATTTAGAAAAATGCCAACAACAATTTTTCAAAATACTTTATTAGGTATCACTTACCGGTATGTCTCACACCGTTGACTCTAAACCAAATTGAATCCATAATTACGTGCTAACTAATTAACTATCAATAAAGAAATAAATGTAAAACTGAAACAAATTACCAGTACAACCAGTTTTCACGTTCTGGAGTATTTTATGCTTACAACAGCTTATATTACATCGCTAGAGTAATTATTTAATTGGTTGTCAAACTTGTTTGGAAACGGTGCGTGAACTTATTGTTTCTTTGCGTTTTAACAATGGGGCGTAGACTTGTAGTGTTTGCAAGGGGCAAGGAACTACATAAACCGCTATCTTTAATAAATATGATGATAGCGTATGGACACTTTGTCGCGGAGAACCTAACGGGTTACCGGGGCTCCGGATCAAAGTGCAGGAGAAGGAACGGGCTGGTTTTTAGTCAGTAAGAGTCTGACACTCCCTCCCGCCTCACCCAGGCTGAAGAAGTCATTCTATGATTTAAAAAAGCGTATGAAATCTTTATAATAAATTACCAAAAGAAATTAGAGATTTCAAATAACTTAACATGTTTAAAATTAGATTGAAGTTGTATCTTTCGACGGCACGGTGCGATAGCTGGGCAACTGGCTGCCGCGCAACGTGTCGCGGGTTCGAATCCCGCAAGGAGCAACTGTTTTTGTGATCCACAAATTGTAGTTCCGCGTCTGGGTGTCATGTGCATATGAACTTGTATGTTTGTAAACGCACCCACGATACGGGAGTAAATCCGTATGTGGAGTGACGTTTTAAAAATGTTCGACTAAACTACAATAACGATAGTCTCAATATTGTTCTAAACAGATCGAACGACATAATGATATATATTTGTGCAAGATCTAGTATTCAGGTTATCATCTTATCTTATCACAGTATATGCGTAATTAAGTTTAAATAAAATAAAATATAATTATGAACTATGTAATGTTCTTTTTGAGAAATAAATGTATTTAAACCGAAACTATATCTGTCTTCAAGGCTTAAGTTGCTTTGTCTCCTACATTCAGCAAGGAACAGAAAACTAATTTGTTTTTAATTAATAATATCTTGTAATTTATTTCGATTATTTTCGAACCGGGATCCAAGACCGTGAGGTGCTCTGAGACGCGCCGGGACTTCAGTGTTCCCCGGAACACTGAAACACGAAATACCGGTTTGAATGGTTGTATCTAATCAATGTTAGCTGTTAATATTACCGTTTGGTTATTTGTGGTAGACCAGAGACAGTATAAAGGCGAGAAAAATTAGTCGGATCAGCTAGTAACGAATAGTAATCAATGAGATTAGATGTTATTGTCTAATGCAGTTTTCAGATTTTGTGGAATTAAGTAGTTCGTACGTAACCATTTTCTAAATATTAATGTACTTAAGTAAGTAGTTTTTGTAATAAAAAACTAAACTATTAGTGCTTTTCTCAGTATATCCTAGGTAAGTAGGTTTAATTTGTCAAAAACTCTATACAAATATTATCTATTATAACACAAAAATCGAGAATTTGTAGTATACATATTATTATTTTGGTTGGTTATCAAGTTTAACCGTTACGAGACTAAGATAAGATTCTAGAGATGACCGAAGGTCCCAAAAATAAGTTCAAGTAAGTCTAAAGTCACTAATCCAGGGTTATTAATTTTAAAAACGAGAAGAATTTAATTTATTACAAACTAAACTAATAATTTTTACATCAAAGCCGCGTCGTGGCGTCCTCAAGGGTTATGCCCCATTAAAAGTTTGTAAAATCCAAAAATTACACTAATTAGGAAACTTTTGACGGAATCCTTGTCGATAAATTTAGGTAAGATTAAAACTTGTAATATTTTTTTTCTAAATCATTCGAAAGATAGCTCTGTAATCATGTTTGCAAAGTATTCACCATAAACTTAAATTAATGGTTTACGTATTATACACATTTCAATTCAAATATGTATCTACTAACATTGTATGGTTTGATAAGCTCACCTGAAATCTATATATATAAGGTCTAATAAAAATAGTGCACAATATTTTAACAGGTGATATAGTAGGTACATGATAAGGATTATGTTTACCTAAAAAAAAAATGTAAACAACAACATGTTTAAGTCACAATGCACCGCGGTTGCCTGATAGCGGCTGGCGGTTTCTTTTGTCGGCACGTTTCAAAAATAAAAGAGATAGCATTAGACTCACGGAATATAGAAATATTCCGTGATTAGACTAATGTTGTCGCTCGCACAGGACGCGCTGATTGGGAATAGGTACATATTGCAGGATGGCATTATAAAAAGCAATGAGAATAATAAATGAATAATTGAATTATTAAAAATAATTGATAAGTTTTTATAAAATATTTTCATAAAAAATGATGTTTATCACATACTAATATTGACCTACTAACATATTGTGCACTATTTTTGTTACACCGTATATAAAAGAAAGTCGTGTTAGTTACACCACTTATAACTCAAGAACGGCAGAATAGATTTGGCTGAAAATTGGTAGGGAGGTAGCCTAGAGTCAGGAGACCGACATAGGATACTTTTTAACCAATACTTTTTTTTACTTTTTACCGAAAATCACGAACGGGGACGGGAAAAAATGGGATTACGTGTAAGAAGTAGCGGGCAAAAGCTAGTTAGTAATAAAAGATTTTGATGATAGAATTAATGATTAAAACTTCTTTTAAAATATTCTGCCATCTGCCTTAAACTGTCGGAAACTTGAATACAGAGATAGAAAATGGATGTATATGAAATAAAGTTTCAAGTTCTGTACAAGCAGGTACTGCCATCTAGATTATTTTTCGTGAAGCTCAAGTTCATAACATCATGTTTGACTTAGTTTCATAAAGCCTTAGTTTCAAAGGTTGGGAGGCGGGTTGGAAACGAAGCATTTCTGTGTATTTATTTTTTTTTTTTTTTTTTTAAGGGGGGAAAATCATCGAATGACTGCTCCCGCCTGGGTGAGGCGGAAGGGAGTGTCAGACTCTTACTGACTAAAAACCACCCCGTTCCTTCTCCTGCACGTCGAGCCGGAGCCCCGGTTACCCGTTAGGTTCTCCGCGACTCCGAATCGGCATCGGCCCTATTGGGCCCCATCTGTGGTGGTCTGATGGCTCTTTGAGGCGCGCGCGGAACGCGACGCGCCGTACGCTCGGGTCTGTTTCTGGTCGGACGGGGAGCCACCCATGCTCGCCGTCCGCAGGCCCGCGCTTACGGTGGCCGGAGATCGTCCCGCGATCCCCGACGCCCGGTGTGTCCTTCGCGATGGCTGGGTCGCGAGGAGGCAGCGCTTCGCTGCCTCACGCGTCCCGCCTCCTCCTTAGCTAGCATGACTGCTTCGCAAAAGGAGGAGACGGCATCCCAGTCCCCCTCGCTCCGCATCATGGCCTGCACTAGGCCCGGACGCGAGAGGTCGCCATCGCCGATCACTTCCCTGAGGGCACGGCGGTGCTCAGCCCACGCAGGGCATTCCGCTACGGTGTGTTCCACCGTGTCCTCAGGGCGGTCCTCGCAGTGATGACACCCGGGCGTTTCCTCCCGCCCCATCAGACACAGGTACCTCCCGAAACTTCCATGTCCGGTGAGGACCTGCGTCAGGCGGTAGGTGAGGACGCCGTAGCGTCTCTCAAGCCACTCCTCAAAGAGGGGACTTACCGCTGCAATGGCAGCGAGCCCAGCCCTCGGTTGCGACAGTCGTTGCTGCCATTCCGCCATGAGATCGCGCCGGAGCTCATCCCGCCACGCACTTATCTGGCGCGGCAGCGGAGTTTCGCCCCGGCGACGTGCCTCCGCGCGCATGTTATACACGCGCGCGAGCACCTTCGCCTCCAGATCCCACGGCGGTAATCCGGCAAGGAGGTTCGCCGACTCCCCAGCGATCGTGCGGTATCCGCGGATCATTCGGATCGCCATGACCCTCTGTGACTTGAGCAGCGTCCGAGCAGGACGCCGCAACAAGTTCGGCGCCCAAACAGGGGCGCCGTAGAGGGCCATGGACCGCACGACCCCGGCGTATAACCTCCGGCAGGAGGCGTTTGGCCCCCCGAGGTTGGGGAGGATGCGTTTGAACGCAGCCCCCGTCCTCTCCAACTTTGGAGCCAAACGTCGGAAATGCTCTATGAAGTTCCACCGACTGTCGAGGACGAGTCCTAGGTACTTCATCGCCGTCTCGACGCCGATGGTAACCCCTCCCGCCGTTATTTGGGACCCACCCGGAGGTGGCGCGTTCCCGCGGCCATGAAAACACATGGCCTCGGACTTGTGGAGCGCCACCTCGAGTCCCAACTGCCGGATTCTTTCAACGACTGTCGCAACCGCTGTCGCCATTAAGTCGGCCGCCGCCTGGTGCGACCTCCCGTGCGCTAGCACCAGCGTGTCGTCGGCGTAGCATATTGTGCTAACGCCGTTCGGGAGGTCGGTGCGCAGCACCCAGTCATAGCCGATGTTCCACAGGAGCGGCCCCAGAACCGAACCCTGTGGAACACCGCGTGACATCTCTCGCCGGTTCCACTCGCCCCGGTGACCGGGGTAGCTGACGGACCTGTCCGTCAGGTAAGCCTCGATTACACGACGGAGGTAGGTAGGCACCCGATGATATCGGAGTGCCTCCAAGATGCAGCTCCAGGGCAGGGAGTTGAAGGCGTTGGCGATGTCCAGAGACACCGCCACTACGACCTTACCCCTGGACACTGCAGTCCCCGTCGTGAGGTCTCTAACGCGCATGATGGCGTCCACCGTGGAGCGCCCTCTGCGGAAGCCGAACTGGCCGTCCGACAAGTCCGGCCCAATGTCCGTCAGGTGCGCGACGAGGCGGTTCGAAATGATTCTTTCGAAGACTTTCCCCACCTCGTCGAGCAGCACTATGGGCCGGTACGCGGACGGAGAGTCCGCAGGGCGCCCCGTCTTCCGCACGAGGACCAGTTTGCCCGCTTTCCAGAGAAGCGGGAACTGGCCTCTCTCCAGACATGCGCTGTAGAGACCAATCAATCGAGGCCCGAGAGCCTCTGAGGCCAGGACCCATGCCTTGCCATGCAGGCCGTCGGGTCCTGGGGCGGTGTTCTTG